GCCGGAGAGATGAAAAATTAGCAAAGCCTTCGCCGGGAATCGAACCACGGACCTCTGGAATACCAGGTCAGTATGCGTGCAGGGTCACTACACGACGAAGGCAACGCTAGGAAAGGCGGTACTAATGACCCTTACATGCTTCCCCTTTTAAAAGGGCGACTGGGGATTTCTAGGGTACTCAATCGCCAAATCCTGGGTGATTGAGAACTCATCATCCAACACACTTTTAGCTTCGGGCGCCACTGTAAGTATATTAGGTATTTTTTGGAGAAAGCCAGGAGAGCTGAAAAATTAATAACCGCCTTCGCCGGGAATTGAACCACGGAACTCTGGGAATAACGGCGCCAGCGTGCAGAACTACTACACCACGAAGGCACGCTAGGAAAGTGGGAGAAATACCTTATAAGTCTTATAGGGCAATTAAGTAAATCCTTTGCTGCTAAATTTCAGGTATATGAAATGATCATTAAACTAAAATTCCCCATTAACAGTATTTGATGCAGCTTTGAAATGATTCGGAACAAAATTTAGATTTTTTTGCTCTGCTCCCAACGCAACAGAACAGCTAGCAAGTGACCATACAAAAATCGAAAATGAAACAATCAAGCACTGCAATTGATTTGAGTGTGAAAAGCATGAAAAAAAAATAAATAAAATAAATATCTATAGGCAAAAATCAATAACATACAAAAGTGTGTAAAAATACTCCGAGAAGAAAAAGTGTGAAACAAGAAATAAAGAGTGGGAAAAATATCCTACTTGAATGAGGTTCTATATTATCTTTAAAATGTGGTATGAAAATTTTGTTGAGGTATGTGCTGTTGAACGCAGAGATGAGATATAAATTATTTATTGCTATTATTATTGGATGTTCAGTTTTTTAGTTTTAATTCATATGGATGTTTAAAAATTTTTAAAGAATAGAGAAGAAAAGTTGAAAGGAGGCGAATGAGGTAGTAATTTTTACTCTATCAGATTGCACAGGAATTTGAAATGTAATTAGGAAAATAACGTAAGAGAAACATTACTTACGTAAATGTATTGAGACACTCTTTGGAAGGGCTTATCATAAGTTTTGTGTAATTTTTCCATGTGTCTGGAAAAAATAATCATATAGATGTATGGTGTAGTTCTGAGAAATGTTGATTTATAAATTTGGATGTGTATTTTTATTACATAGCATACAATTAATTAGAATACCATTATTAGAATTAAGGTTTTAAATATTTTTGGAAAGTATTATCTTTTATTTCACTTGTTTATTTGATTTATTTTACTAGCTTATTGTAAAACTAGCAGTAACTTTTGACGAGGAAAAATATTATTTCCGACGAATACGTCATGTCATTTAATGTAGAATGGTATTTATTTTAATCAATTTATATATGTGAAACACTTTCGAAAATAAATGAAAAATGCTAAATTATATAACCATTTAATAATTAGGTATTCTATTGGTCAATTTTTAGCCCGAAATGCGTTAGTCCAGAGGGACTCTTAATTTCGTTTTGGCATTTTGCGTCAATTCACTTTCGGCGTTGATTCATTTTCCAAACTATTGCCACCAAATATTACAGCCCTGTATTATATTTAAAGAAATTAAACAGTGAAGAAGCTGCATAAATGTATGTATATTTCTCGCATTGTTATAATATAAGGTACCTAGAGACATCAAATTTTGAATAACGTAATCCTCCACCGAATATGGGCATCTGGAAGCCCTAATTTGGAATTTAGAATTCGTTTTATTATCTATTTCATACTTAACTGAGATATTAAAGAATCAGATATATTAAAGAATTTTTGATTAGAAAACTCAACGATTTCAAAGCGAGGAATGGCAACACTGTACGGGAAAAAATTATCTCCAGAGCGCGAGACTGTGTATCGGAAATTCTAAAGATATTCTCATTTTAAAATTATTTTGAGATATTGTTGTTGAATTGAATTTTAGGGTAGTGCGAAGAACATGATATTTAATAAATAAAGGTAACAAACAAAACGTTAAAAAGACGCCTTTTTGGGCGTAATGTAAAATCTGAAAGCTTTCAGATTTGATTAGTTTTGATTGTATTTTTTGATTTTGCACTGATCTAGGAAACAGATGAAATGATATTAATCTTCGTCTCTAATTAGAATATTATTTATTCCTTTTAGAACATATGTTTGGTTTCAGTGATAAATTGTGTTTTAGTAGGTCAGATATACACCGTAAACCTAATTTATAACTGCATTGAGATGATTCAAAATTCAACAATAATAATTTATTTGCGAAATATTTGCTACAGAGAGGAAACATTTGATTTTCAAGTTTTAAAAAGCAAGTATCATAAGCTTATATAATGAAATAAACACGAATTGTAAATTGGCCAAGCAAGGCAAAGTGGCTAAAACTGTGAAACATATATAGTAGGTAAAGGATCGTATTTCTAAAGCGAAACTATTTGACTATATCAAAGTTTCGTTGCATTTTGCTTTTCTCACGAGTGAGTAACGTGAATATGATACATTTCTCTTAGAAATTTCTCTACAGAAGCGCACTATCTCTTATTTAACAAAATCGGATAATGCAATACATTCAGAATTGCGAATTCCTTACACATTAATGTCATATTTCATACGTACATAATCGAGCATTTAAGTGTGTTTGATACACACAGCCATGAAACTTTCTGAAAATATTGCATAGAGAGTTAAACAACAAGAAACAGACATTTAGAACGTTTCAGTTACAGCAATGATAATCCAGTTTGTTTGTTTGTTTCCTCAAATTTACTTTTTGATTTAATTGAAAGATTAATATTAAATCTTTACATTGATAACTATGTCAAAAATCTAACAATGTTTGAAAGTAAGTTTATCAGTTCATTAGAGCTGAGTTGGGAGAATAATGAGGTTTTATTAAATATTTCATTACTGTAAGAGGAAAGGTAGTCAGTTCAGGAAAAACTATGCATAAAAAATTAAACTATTGAAAATTTTATTTTTATTTTCTTTATATGAGAATTATATTTCCTGGTGTGATGATATTTCATAATATGCACACAAAATATTAATGAATTCTTAAGATAAAAGTAGATCAACAGAAAATTTTAAGTCTATTATAATTTATTATAATTAATGACACATAGTGACTAGTGGCTAGCGGCATCCGACTAGTGAGTAGACTAGTGAGTAGTACTAGTGGTATCTTCGTATGCCGAGAGTGGGAATAGGTATATTATAGTAAGTTTGAAGCACGATGCTTGTCTTTAATTTGGTATCATAAGTAGTGCTAGTACTTTAGAGAAATACTGAGGATGTTGTAACATAAGATTATTTAATATATTTAATAATGACAAATTAATTTTAAAGGTAGACTCAATTCTCTTTAAGCAAAAATCTTAGTCAAAGTGATGCAAGAAATACCTTATTTAAACTACGGCGTAAAGCTTTCGAAGCATCAAAGAGCCAAAAGACTGGCCAAAATTTAATATTTGGTAGAATATGTTAAATCATTTTGCATCTAGCAGAATATCGCTTCCTTGAACTTTATTTAATCAGATGATACCTATGCACTAATTGTGAAAAGGAATTCATGACAGTTATATCCGCCAAGAACAAGCAACAGTGGTATTAGAAACGCATTTCAGGAACAGTTGAGGAGGATCATTCCACTATTACACGTTTGGTTACAGGAGGAAATTTATCGCTTTAGAAGACCCATTGGGAAAATTAATTACAGGAGCTCTGCCTAATTATCAAGCAGTGAATGGGAAAATAGAATTTGCCGATGCGTCAATTCAAATTCCATTTGCTGGCAACCAAGCACAAAATTTAGCAAATTGGAGGAAATATTCTCTTTTTTTAATTCTATAAATTCAATTAAACGAAATAATTTATTACTCAGAAATACACTTCCAAGAAATGAAAGTTTTTTTATTCGCAGTATACTCAGTTTCTTTGGTCTGTGAATTCTATTACTCCATCGCTAGAGATAAAGGTTTAGGACTACAATCTAATGAATAAATGAATGATCTAATGAATAATTTCCACAGAAGCGCAACACAATTTAATTGCATGAAGCTCAGAACAACACAAAAACTTAGTTTTAACTTAGTTAAAACTTAGTTTTAACTTAAAAAAAAACTTAGTTTTTTCTTCGAAGGAATATGAGCCTGAAATTTGGTAGTTTTATTCGCAGATCTGTCTTGTAGATAGATAGTGGAAGTATGTATTTATTCTCAGTTAATAAAATTTTATTATATGTTTTATTCATTTGCAGTTTTTTAGTCTAATTAAGGAGACGTATGAATCCATCAAATTGTGATAGTACGCTCTTTTTTATCTATTCAAGAAAAATTCTATTCCGTATGCTGATAGCTCATAATACGTATCTGAACAAAATATTTAGTTCTTTTACTGAGTTTTACAAGGAACTTTTGTTTGACATTTACCTTAAAGAATAAGTACTAAATAAAAATTTGCAAAGTCTTCATTTCTCTTTGTGAACATTACATACGAACATAAATCAGCTTCTAATCTGTGAAATATATTCTCGTTTTTTTCTTCCAATGCAAATTCAAGTGTAAGAAAAATGCATTTCCTTTACTACGCATATGTCACGAAGTTTCTATATGAGCAGAAATGTTTCTGAAACTTCTTTCTTTAAAGCTATTTCTGCTCGAGAGTACTCATGCTTATGTTTCTAATTAATTACTTTCATATGCTTACATTTTATGACTTAATGTTTGATAAACGTTTCTGATGTAGAAATATATTTTAAAACACAACAAAGAATTAAAATACTGGTAAGTAATGAAATAGATCATAATACATTTATAAACAGCATTTCGTAAGAATAATGTTATCAAGTATTTCACTGGTTGAGTACAAGATTGCAAAGACAAAATCGCATCAATTGAAAGTAGTGCGTTAATAGCACCTATTCACTATGCAGAAGTTACAATATTTTAAAAATTGATATAAAAAAGACTCATGAATAATTAAAATATACGTACTTGATATTCATTTTTGAATTCTTGCTCCATGAAACTTAACCGTCTCAATTCCCAGGACAGTTCAAATGCAGAAAGAATGGGATCTTTACTGGAGAGTGCTATGAGAGAAGGTGAAGCGAGTGCTCTGTAGGAATTGATCCGAGATCGCGAATGCCTTAGGCTGTCTTCACTGCTGGACTTGACGCATTCTACACAACCACAACGAACTTCGTGAGGCGTGGGTATCTTAATGTCTAATGGAGCTTGCGATGAGTCATTCGATACCCTGTCTAACAGGAGCTTGATGATTTCGTAGTTATCGCGATGCGCAGCTAATATCAAAGGCGTGATGTCAGAGGTGAAAGTCGCTTTGTCGCGATCTATAGCCTCCCAGCTCTGAAAAACGAAAAAGATTCTTTGTTTCATTCATTATAATCCAGTAAATTATGTTATCTTATTTATATGACTTAAAATAAAAGAAACTTTAAAACAATCCGACAGTATAATTCGATAAAACAGCTTACCTGCGTGATAGTCTATTGATTGCATTTTACAGAACTAGGTATTCCAGAAAATTGAAATTTTAAGCTCAGTGAGAACAAAAGATAAACTAATTGTTAGGATTATTTAGAAAATTAACGTAACTAAACAAATTAATTAAGCCTTCATTTACAATTTACTCTGCTTATTTATATCTTTAAATAAACCACATGTGAAACGTCTGTAGCAACATATGTGTAAATATGTGAACGTAACAGGCATAAAAAATGTTTAAATATAAAAGTGATTTGATAGTTCCCGTTTGTAGGAACACATATGTAAATATGTGAAGTAACTGGCATATAAAAATTGTTTAAATATGGATTAGGCATATAAGAATTGTTTAAATATAAATTGTTTGATAAGTGATTTGATAAATCCAGTTCAACATGAAAGATAATATGTGTTTTTCAGAAACCATTCTTTGAAATCATGTAATATAGTCGTTCAGGGACATTTCGACACTTAGGAGATCTCGACACTTTTAAGAAAGTCCCTTAGTAGAGTGGTCTGCACCCTGATGTCGCATGTGGAAACCACTGCATTGGAATAACCTAAGAGTGTAGTGCGTCATTGTGAATCGAAAGGTTGTAAAGTCAGAGATTGATCAAGAAAATAAATATTAATAATCTGTCAGGTAAGTTCTTCATAGTTGGAAATTCATAAAGTATAAGATTGGCTTTGATAACGATGATAAATGTGGACGATGGATTCGATTTTTGGCGATTTTCAAATGACTGGCTAGAGAGACAAGGCATTCAGGAACATGGATGTCTACGCAAAAAGTTTTCATAGCCAGTCAGAGGGGGGTGCTTCCATCTTTCATAGAAATGTGTCGGGGAGATTTCGACAGTAGGTTACGGGGAGATCTCGACAGTCGAGTCAGGCAATTTTGTCAATGGCTTTCGAAAATGTGGAATATATCCATACAATCCCTATATTTTGGAAGACAATGTGTTTGAGTATGAACTCATGTCTACTACAAATGGCACCATTCTAGTTATGGTAGGGGAAGACGATAACTTCCAGAGGTCATCATCACCATCTACTGCATCAACTTCTACATCATTTTCGGAATTATCTCCTGTACCAGTAGTACAGAACCATTCTGTACGGAATAGGAGAAAAAAACAAGAATCAGCCATTATAACATCCGCAGAATACAGGAGTCAGCTGCGCAGCAAAACGCCAAAACAGGGACCTAGACGTCTGGGAGAAACTCAACCCAGTACCTCGAGGGAACTCGAAGACAGTGAAAATTACGGTGGCGAGTGCGGTGGGGTACTATTTTGATGATACTGCTGGACAGAAGTGCGTGAAATGTGTTGGAGAGTGTAGTACGTGGTTCCATGAGGCGTGTGTACAAAATGGGAATCAACCCCAGTTTACATGCAACAAATGTACATAGTTAAAAGGGAGGATATATACTGTTGCATTGTTAATATGTGTTTAGTCCCTCAATCTTTCATTTCCATATTGCGTTGTCCTTATTTCTTAAAAAACGCCATTGTTCTGAATTGTACCTGCCCCCCCCCGTAGATACCTGTCGAGATCTCCCGCAGTTAAGGGAGAAGTGGACATCTGGCTTTTATGTTTTCATTGCATTTATATGACCTATGATGTTTTTCAGGTAAGCCAAAGTTTCATAATGTGTTACTAATACAGGAATAATTATTTTCTGTAAGTAAATGATAAAATCCTTAAATGTCAACCTGTTATTCATAATTTTCCCTTAAGGTGTCGAGATGTCCCTGAAGGACCTTATTTATGCAATCATGTAAAAATATACATCTCAAAAGAGGTGTGAATAAAATTCCAACTTTAAAAAACATTTATTAAACCCATATTGTAATCCACATTCTTTCTGAATTTAAAGTAATTTATATTTTTCTTATTAAATTTCGGTTAAGCAGTTTTGTCGTGTTTCTAAGGGAAAATCTCGATTCAATTATTCAGAATTTTAATTATTTTTGGTGTTCGCTGTACAACACTTAAGTCAAGGTATATTTTTTATTTTTCACCTTTTTGCTCTATTATTGCAAAGATCCTGACAGCTAGATACTGAAAAGCTCAAGCTAGCTCAGCAGGAGTTTAAATTTCACGCAGGGTGATTATATTATCCGGCAATCCAAATCTCAGTGGGTTAGCCCCCCTCTATTTGGTTAGTAAGAAAAATGTTACTCTCAAGCCTTGTGGGGACTACAGATGTCTCAATGCACAGACCATATCTGATAGGTATCCCATCTCCCGAACTGAAGGTTTCTATTATAGTTTAAAAGATAAAACCATATTTTCTAAAATTGAACTAGTAAAGGACATATTACCAGATACTTATTGACAAAGAAGATAAACCGAAGACTGCTATAACAACACCTTTCGGGCTCTACGAATTTAACGTGATGAGTTTTGGAATCCGTAATACTCCGTCGATCTTTCAACACTTCATTACATAGAGGTGTTACGTGGATTAGATTTTTCATTTCCATTCTCTGATGCTTCTTCATCAGAGGAAGAGCATAAGTTGTACCTAAAATTAGTTTTCGACCTATTACAGCAGTATTGGCTTCGCACTAATGTAGCCTGTAGAGACATTAGGTATTTTGGAAGCAGGAGATGTGAAAAATGAGCAAAACCTTCGCACGGACCTCTGGAATACGTGCCCAGCGTGCAGACCAGCACACCACGAAGGCACGCTAGGAAGGCGGAAGAAATACTTTATATACTCCCCCCTTTAAAAGGGCGATTGGGGTTTTAGAGGACCCAGTCACCAAATGCTGGTTGCGGGGAATCATCATTCACCACCTTTTAGTTCCGGCGCCACTGTAGAGACATTAGGTATTTTGGAAGCAAGATATGTGAAAATGAGGGATGCCTTCACCTGGAATTGAACCGCGGACCTCTGGAATACGCGTCCAGCGTGCAGACCACCACACCACGAAGGCATGCTAGGAAGACAGGAGAAATACCTTATAAGCCGAGTGGGAAGTGTAATTTGTTCAGGAAGACTAGCTAGGTTACCTCATAACCGCAGAAGTTTGATCGTTGAAGTAATCTGCAATTATAAATTACCCACAACGATACATAATCTTCGTACGTTTGTGGGCGTGATAAATGTTTAGCGTCGCTATTTAAAAAATGCTTCTGAAACTCAAGCAGTGCTACACGAAATGTTGAAGGATTCTAAAAACAAGAATGTTGTAAAGTTCTATGGGCAGACGAAGGAATTCACCAGTTTTAGACGTGCAAATCTGATTGAACCAATGCTATCCTTTTGTGCTTCCTCAAACCTGAATTACCCTTGTCTTTGTGTACAGACGCATCAGAGTTTGCTATAGGATCAGTACTGCAACAGTTGGGAGATTAAGAATAGAAACCTATTGCGTTCCACTCTAAAAATTAAACGACGCACAGGAGGCTTATAGCACGTATGACAGAGAATTTTTAGCAATATATCTTTTTGTCAAGCATTTTAAATATATATTGGAAGGACGCGAGTTCATCATACTTACTAATCACAAGCCACTGGCATACGCATTCAAAGAAAATAATAAGAAGGTATCGCGCAAGCAACAACGCCAACTTCAGTATATATTGGAATTTTCAACTGATATTCGGCATATTGATGGCAAAGGCAACTTAGTTGCGGGTGCTGTGTCACGAACTGAAGCAGTCTCAGTCATTGATTATGATGCAGTAGCAGATGCTCAAGAAACAATGAAGAATTGCAACGTTTAATGACATGTAGTACTTCCTTGAAAATTAAATCATGTATATTGTCATCTGGGAAAACATTATGGTGGGACAGTTCAGCAACTAGTGTCAGACCCTTTATTCTAAAGCAATTAAGACAACAAATGTTTCTTCAAATTCATAATTTTGCTTATCCGGGTATCAGAACATCTGTGAAACTATGATTGAAAAATTTATCTGGCCAAATATGAAGAAAGAAATTCATGAGTGGATTAAGATTTCTATTAATTGTCAAATGAGCAAAGTCAACAGACATACAAAACCTAAAGTAGCCGAGTTCTAAGTACCAGACGCTAGATTCAGTGTCGTGCATGTTGTCCTGATTGGGCCGTTACCACCATCCGATGGTAAGACGTATTATCTGACATGTATTAACCGTTTTCCCTGTTGGATAGAAGTAGTTCCTTTAACAGAAATCACAGAAAAAATGGTAGCTAAAGCGTTTTAAGAACATTGGATTAGCAGATTTGTTGTGCCTGGTTCCATCATCTCGCATCAAGGAAAACAAATTGAGTCACAGCTTTTCAGAAGCTGTGGTGCTAAAGTTTTTCACACCACTCCATACCAATTACAAAGCAATGGGAAAGTAGAGCGGTTTTACAGAACAATAAAACCTGCAATAAAGGCCTAAAGCAACATCAGATAGACAGAAATACTATCAATTATTCTTCTAGGATTAAGAGCTGCGATACGTCCTTATACTAATGACTCTGTAGTTCAAATGGTATGCGGTACACATACAAGGTTGTAGAAACATTAAGTTATTTTGAAGCAGAAATTATGAAAAATGAGCAATGCCTTCGCCAGGACTTGAACCACGGACCACGAATACAAGCCGAGCGTGCTGACCACTACACAACGAAGGCATGCTAAGAAGGCGGGAGTAATACCTTATATACTCTCCCTTTGAAAGGGCGACTGAGGATTACGGGATCCAATCGCCAAATCCTGGTGAGGGAAAATCATCACACCTTTTATGGTTCGAGCGCCACTATAGAATGCCCTCGTCGGGTACTTGAACCACGGACCTCTGGAATACGCGCCGAGTACGCGCTAACCACTACACCACGAAGGCATACTAAGAAGGCGGAAGAAATACTTATAAGGTTAGACTAGAAGAGAAACACGCTAATGTGACAATCAAAATCGTAAAAAACAACCTTATATTTAGCGTAGGTATAATGAAACACTCAATCGATTTCAATGATGAGGAGGGACCTTTAGCTGCCCTCGAAATCGATTGAGTGTTTCATTATACCTACGCTAAATATAAGGTTGTTTTTTACGATTTTGATTACTTATAAGGTTACCAAGTAAGTTTTTCAAATGAAACATGAACAGTGTTTATTTACAACGGAAATATGAATTTCATTTCAAATTCAAAACATTAGGTTCCATGAAGTTATACAATCTTTTATTTCTTCAGCGTTTAAAGACTTGCATCATAATACCTCATCCATATTATCAAAAAGTTGATAAGAATTATAAAATAAATTAAGCAAAAAGTGCAAAATAGACTTTTATATCAATCCTGGAATTTAAAGGGTAAGATAGCTTGAAGGTTATTTTAATGCAAAAACTTACTTCGTTTTTTTCTTTGTGATGTACATTTAAATGGATAATACATGTTGGTTATAATGACAGTTCCACTTTGAAATGGTCATAAAAAGAAAACTGCTGGACCAAATGTTATCAAACTTGGTAATCGTGCAAACGAAGTCATGGGAATTTATTTTCCACTAAAAAAAAAAAAAAAAAAAGTTAAAAAACTCACCACCAGGAGGGAAATGGCGCTGTATGCAACATTGTTAAACGAAATAAGGATCGAAATCTAACCTAACATTTTGTTACACGGGTTTAACATGTTGTATACCCTTAAGAAACATTGACCGAAACAAAATTACCATTTACAGACGTTAAAGGCGATAAACGTCTAGTGCGCCGTTTGTGTAACGGAGAAATCCCTCCATGAAAACCACAAATTAGCGATTAGAAAATCACTCGCAAAAGTGGGCGCATTCCAGAAATCGTTTTCTTACAGATCACTAATTTGTGATTTGTGAAGCCTGAATTCAGCCCTAAGACATGAAGATATCAGTTTAGAACGTTTTTAATCGTTTTTAAAATGAATTTTTTTATGGAGTTATGCAAAACCGCAGTGGCTTGGGATTGGTTTACAGAAGGAAGAAGCAAATGATTTATGCAAATAATTCAAACAATTTGGCGTAATTGAAAGATGTGATACACCGACATGCCCGTAACATTTCTCCTGGTATGCAGTAATAAGATTTAACTTGCTTTCCGAAAATGGTGGACGCAACATTGAACATGCTTTGTAACACGTTTCACAAACGATTAAGCACATTTTGAAACGATGTTTTCATGTCTTATTTCGTTTAACAATATTGCACACAACGTCATTTCCACCCTAGTGGTGAGTTTTTGAACTTTTGTTTTCAAAGAAAATAAATTCCCATAACCTCCTTCACACGATTACCAAGTTTGATAACATTTGATCTAGTAGTTTTCCTTTATAGTTTCCTCCTTTTTCAAAGTGGAACTTTAATTATAACCACCTTGTATAGTTCTGAGGAAATGTTATATAGTAGAAACTTATGTCTTGTTACAATTTAAGAAATTTACTGTAATATTTCATAGATCTTGTTCATATTATTTACAGTTCTTATGCACAATATTTCTAAAATATAAATTGAGATCTTTCCTGATTCAGTTTAACTAAAAGTAAATTAACTAAACGAGATGAATTAATTAAATAAGAAAATTCAAGCGTATTAACATTTCATAAAAACGTCGTTTACGATTTTAAGAAAATCAAAGCATAGCCATGATAGATCAAGAACATTTTCATTACTTATTTTTATTATTAATATTCTTTCTCCAATTAAACATAAAATATATTCTTTTTTTAAGCAGAATATATTGAACATATACTTTTCTCTTTTAAAATCTAACTTTTCAGATAGTTCTTTACATCAGTATATGCTTCTGACCTTAGATAACGTTTACTAATTGCTCGAATTAAACCCACAATATGTTTTCAGTCAGGTCTTGACTTGGCATATGGCAGGATAGAGAATTAAAGATATTTAAGGCGGAAGCTTAAAATTACCAAATTTTTATTTATTATCCATTAAAAGTTATGAAAAGCATTTAAATAGTATCACATTCGTTACACCCAGTATGTTCTTCTATCTTCAATGTAAATCGTACACAAATATTTTAAATGTGAAAACGACCATGCCTAAGAAATTCTAAGACACGCACACAAAAAAGTAAAAATAATACGAATAGAAAGGAAAAAATGATTTATATTATAATACAAAATTATCTGTGGAAGCTTACATTTTTATTTTTTGATGCATCAGTTCCAAAAGAAATTAAAAATTAACTAAAAAAATCTAGAATGTTGTCAAGAATATCATTGGAACCCATAGCATCCTTTTGTAACGAAGGAGTGGACAAGGGCTAGTATAAGACAGGGATTGTGAGATTAGAACTGAGTCATTTCGGGCTTCAAATTCGGGACACTATGTGCTCTCCATCTGCATCATAACTGCATGACTGTTTCATGTCTGATTATTCATGTTATGATAAAAATCAGTCATGACGTTATTGACCTCGTCGATGGTGTTAAAGCTTGAGTGTTTTTTTCAGTAGCTTTAGTACTCTCCAAAATTCTTTTGTTCGTGAAGATCTTCATATCTTTAAGAACTGGGAGTAGGTATTGTTTCGGAAATTTTTCACACCGCTTACAGGTATGTTGAGGTGATCGGATGAGAACCGGTACTTTCAGCATGGTATGGCCATTGACAGGTATGTTGAGGTACGTTACGGGTTTTACAGTATGTTTCAGGCAATGTTACAGGTATATTGAGGTATGTTTTCCAAGACAATGTAAACATTTTGGTTCCAGATCCTTAAAGTAAGGGATTCTTGGTCTCCGGCTCACTTAACAACATTTGAAAGGCTAGTGGCATACAGATTAGAGATTGTGAAGTTATATAAATATTGCTGTTGGTATCATGTTTTGCTATTGGGACTAAACTTAAGGGTGATTTTGTCTATTAGTGCCTCGTAGTGTAGTGAATTGTCCGAGTTTAAATATTTGGAAGCTTTTTTTCACAAGATGTAGTCCAAAGTCTGAAAAACTTTCATTAATCAGGAGTCCTCTTATCACATCTTCCAAATTTTTATTTTCGAGTAAAAGGAATGTATCGTAATTTGTATTGAGTTAAACGAAGTGCAGGGAAAGTTTTGCAAGGTAGTGCCACTTATATTAATTCGAAAATGATGTTCTGCTTTCATTTGGCAGTGAAACCTTTACCTACTTCATTATTAAAAATTTCTTTAGTTTCTCCCAAATAATTTGTTGTCCTTAAAAATTATCTTAGGGGTATGTTGTGAAAAAAAATGGAATTCCACAGTCTGTATTTCAATTTTTCTGAGTCCTCTGGCCAGATTCTCATCTCCAGTTAGCTGAGAAAGAATTTCAGTAGCCTGTGAGTTGCTCTTATCCATTATGCGGTTTTCAGCTAGGGAATAGCTGATATCTGTTAACTTATTCTTGTAAATTTTTGCGATGAATTTAATAAGGGTACTTTCTTTTATCTCGATTTTAAATTCGTAGGCTTTTTCTCATTCGTAGGCTTTTCTAGTTTTATGGACATGCGTAATGTTTTTGCTGGCATTAATATTCTCATTACTAACCTTATCTACTTCATGAAGTTTCCTTTTCTTACTCTAGTCGGGTTTGCTTCTCTACCAGCTGCATTTCTTTTTAAAGTTTACAGTGGTTTCTGGAATTGACCAGTCCATTTCACTGGTGGAATCATGAATTTCCATTATTTAACTGAATAGTAAAGAAAGCAGCCAGGTAATCTAGACTCATCAAAGTGCAGATTTAATTAATTTTTATGAATTTCATAAATATGCCTGACCATTGTTGCTCTTTTATCAGGCAATTACCTAAAGCCATTGGGTATTTACTTTGCCCTTAATTTCACAATAAAGCCACAGAAGCCAAATCAAATTCAGAAATAGAGTACAAATATGTTCCTGGACCAGAATGTCCAATGTCATTAACGATTCTTCTCTAGAAAGGATATTCAGTGGAAAAGAATGAAAGGAGATTTAATATCACTCAAAAACTTAAAATTAGACTGAAACGCTATTACTAAGTAAACCAAAGGCGAAGGAATGAACACTAAAGACATTTGAAGATTATGTTTTCCCTCTGCTTCATTATTTTCATTCAAGAACTAATTTTCACAACATGTGCGCATAATACTTTTCCACTTTATTACACAGTGATTTTAGAGGCACAGTCAGATCACGTTTTGGAGTATGCAAGAAATTAAAATGTTGATTTTTGCATCAAATGAAATAATTGTAACAAAGCTAAAAGAAGAAAGAAAAATAATTTTAATAATTTTGCTTTTATTTTTTGTAAAGTAGTCACTGCTGTTTTACGGCATTATTTATTTATTTATTTTATTTCATAGTCGATAGAAATCAGGAAAGGTAGAAAAAAATAGTATCTGCCGCGAACCATCACGCAAAGGTGTAAAATAGCAAATATATGTTTATATTTTTCATGTTTAATCAAAAGCACATAAAACATCTCTAGAGCAATGGGGATCAGTACGAACAGTTCTGCGTCAGTTAATTGCAGATTTTCTTGTTGATGAAAACTGAGATAAAGCGTTATGAGTGAAATGGTACTTACGTGTGGTTTGCCCTTCACATGATGCTGCTCTTCATGCTCTAATAACAATTCAACAGCTTCGACAAACTCTTCATTTATTGCATGTAACAGAGCGTCTTTGGTTTCAACTTGGCTATATATAAGAAGTTGGACCATTTCTAAATTTTCGTTGTCTATTGCCATGAGTAAAGCAGAGCGACCTAGAGGGTCTGTACAGTTTATGTTTATATTTTTCTCTTTTGCGCTTTCCAGATACCTGAAAATAAAAAACCCATTTTATTGTCACAACATAATATTTGCAGTTCAAATGCTGAAAAAGATACTACATATAAATATTTTTGAGTCTAAGCTAGTAATGTTCATTTTATATCAAACTGTGAAACCGGAATTAAAATTTTAAGTTGAAATGATTTAGTGAAATTGAAATTCTATTTTCGTTAGAGATATTACATATGAATAAACTTAACAACAAGTGCAACAATAAACATTGCCTTTTTATTAATGATGAATTGAATCTAAAAGCGACACATAATTGCAATTTAAAAATGTTTGTTATTTCATTGTGATTAAGAGCAACATGTTAATAATAGCTTTGCAGCGAACAACATAAAGATAAGAAAGTTGCAGTTTTCATTCTGTTACGAAGGGTGAGATGACATGCTCTGCCATCGTAGAAGAAATAATTCGTTCAACAACGCTTCCAGTTCACTGCAACAGAGAGACACGTGACATTACGTTACTTCTTCTTCATCAGCCAACGCGTGGCTTTGGCAGACCATTTGATGTCGTGCCATACTGTATAGCCGTGCCCATCCTTCCATTGTATCTTTTCGGGTTTCTACTTCCAAAGCGTTGCTTGGTGCGGAGATGATCAGCTTTCACTTCTTCTGAGTTACACAGCTGGCATATGGGAGAGCTAAGAATGCCGATTCAGTGAAGATAGTCGTGGCCTGTGATCAGTCTAAAGATGACCACAGCAACATCTCGGAGAAAGTTGTTGGTAATGGATTTCGTTGTGCCATCTTGTGCCAAACAGCAGCTGCCCTCCATACATCGTCCACGGTCTTCTTGACTGTCGATGTAATTTTGCTGAATATGGCTCTGTATGTTAAGGGGGTGCATTGGCTGAGGCATATAGCATCCTTCCTTTGCGAATCTATCCACTTGTTAATTTCCTGTAAGGTCGCAGTGCCCTCGGACATATTGTACATGAATATCTGTTGTCTCCTGTAGTTTGCGAGTCTTCTAGTCTTTCTTAAAGCTTCGTTGCAAGTTGTTCTTCCATTGCAAATTGTGCTGCCTTGGCGACTGCTTGTATTCAAGCCGTTAAGTCCGTGAGGAAGACTACTTTTTATTTGTATTGGTGGTAAAGGGGCATTTTTCTGCCTCACTATTACCTCACCGTCAAAGTTGGTCATTTATTTGTCAATAGAGAAAGCTCCTTTGGCGAGGAGGGAGTAAAAGGCGGCTCCACGGTTTTTACTGAGGGTATTTTCTAACGATAATTTCTAGCGCAAATGCTTTCAGGACGTATGAACAGTCGTCTGCCTTTCTCTCATGTATGCACGAGAGAGATCCAAAAGTGCCTCTCAGATGTTTCATGGCTGATCATGGGTCTTTGTAGGTAGGCGTTGGCCCTACGTCTAGGTTACATATCTGAACCTGGGTCCAGCGGTGTATTCTGAGGCAGTCTTCTGCTTGCAGGCGCATAGCGCTCCCAGAAGTTTTCAGGCGTCCTTCCGCTTCTTTCGATGTATTTCATCGTTGCCTTGTCTCAGCGGCTTTCAAAAATGCTCTATTTTATCCTGATATTCAAGGAAGGGGATTGAGATTGTTCCCAGGTTCAAGAGATTTTAGGGATCTGCACTTTATCATCAAAGCCTATTGATTTCAGGGAGACTGACGGACCGATGGTCCGGTTGGTCCTCTGTAAGTAAAAAATCAAGTACATTAGAAAAATCAAGACGGTGTGAAACTAATTCAATTTGCAGTAGAATACTCTTCAATTCTCGAATAGAGAGACTCTTACCGCTAGCAAGATCCTCACATAATGAGGACAATAACTGTACTTAAAGTAATTGTTTCTGTGCCTTTAATATTGTTATTCATTCTTAATAGAGCCTGTCATAGATTGTAATAAATGCGTCTTTGTTCTATATGTCGCAAGTAATACGCAACCTAAACAAATTTTAAACTAACCAGTTACCAATCTGTATATGGAGTCGCCTCAACAGCGCAACAAACCATCTTCTTTCCAGTGGTGACCGAGGACTGACAACTGCATTAACGAACTGAATTCTCAGAACGAACTAAACATCATTTAAATTGTATAATAAGCATTATACAATTTAAAGGATATTTACCTATTTGAATATTTTTTACCTATTACCTCTCATTCAGTTTATAAGTCAGAGTGCACAAAAATTATATCATCTGAAGAACTACCACATGCTCTATTCAAAACTATAATAAATTTAAACGATGTATAAAAGAAATTAAACAAACGAAAAAGAAACAGTGTTTCACAGGCGATTCAGCGCCGCTTACTTAATGCGCATGCGCTAGTAATTAATTCAGTTCTCAATTCGCAGCAAGGCAAAAATACATAAAAATTCAAAACATTTTCATTAAAAATATAAAGATATAGAAAAACATAAAATACCAAGTACAGTAACAATTAAAATTATAGTTTCTACGCAAAATCAAGCTAATAACTTAAAATAATTCCACAATGAATTAAGCTTGCAATAATAAAAGAAGACATTACTTTGTTGTTGCGAAGCTTAGTTTCTTTAGATTGGCAACAAATCCACTATTCTGCTAAGTTCCAAATATAAACAAATACGGCTGCTATGCTAACAAAAATTAGGCTTAGCTGAACTTAAAAAACTTTTAAATTGTTGATAATTCCAGCATTATTGCATGAAGGTTAACTAAAGGTATAAAAACATTAACCGGAAGATAAGAAGAACATAATTCAATCATCTTTAAGGCAAAAAACGCACAATTTACAAGTATATAAGAATAAAGAAACTGAGCTCGCACAGTTGAGTTACCAGAGTTGATATATGTATACATATATTTATATACTTTTAGTGAGGCCGATTGCAACCAAAATGGGAGGCGTACATCTACATGTTATAGCAGTCCTATATACAAAATGTCAACGTTCTGAGGCTACTCGTTTTTGAGTTATGCGAGATACATACATGCGTACATACGTAACGTAGTACGTACGTAGAGACGCCACGAAAAAAATATCTTCAGATATTCATTTTAAATCAATTTTATAATCCGTTTGGGGAACAAGAAAAGTCTCCTTTATTTCTGACCTTACGTACAGATGTCACACAAAAAACATCGTTAAACTGCATTCGATAGCTGGTCAAAATGGATATTTTCGTTTGAAATATGATGCTCGAAATCTTTCGCGATGACAATGCTTCCTTTTTACTTCGCGCAAGGAAGTAATAATTTAAAAAATTATTATATATAATTAGAAACTGGCTATAGAAGTATGATATCATTTGCAATGTAACGCAAAGTACCAAGCATAGAAGTAAGTAATTAATTTGTGAAATTAATTTTGAATATTAGTAGAGCACAATGCAATATATTGTAATAAAATCCTCAGAATAATTTCTTTTTTCACATTATGATTTAATATTAAAACAACAGAAGTTGAACTATATCTACCAAATAAAACTGACCTAAATTAAAATTTTTAAACAGTGAGACAAAAATGAGAGTAAACTTTTGTTGACGCCCTTGATAATAAAAACAAGAGTGAATCGAATTACGCTTTTACTATTGTATATTATTTATTTCTGATATTATTCACAGAAATATGCAATAAAAAGTGTTTACCTGAAAATTTAAGCAGTGACGATATGTTCGGCTAACAGAAAGAACTAAAAAAATTGTCGGGAAAAAGACAAAAAATCCTAAACAAAGCGCTTAAAACAAAAAATCGCTAGACTTGGCCAGCCTTTCTTGATAACACTAGATTCGGTAGAATATTTATGCATTCATCACAGAACTCGACTAAAATCGAAAAATATTACCATAAAAATTATTATTTCGAAAGGTATACTACGAAAAAAAAAGGGAGGGACAATTCTATATCTTACGTTCTACTAGGCCGATTGACAAAATTCAATTGCGTTTCTCATGTCTCGAAAGCTCGACTTAGGATATATATTAGATTTATATATAGCATTGTTCTAACATAGGTATTTTGACACAAAATCGGACTTTTTCTGAAATAACATACCATTGTTTTTCCAAATTTCGATTCTACGACTAAAATTATGCCTAGATACAAAATTTTGTAAATTTTGGTGCGAAATTTTACGGAGAAATTCAAAAATTTATCTTGGCACATTTTTGTCAGTTTGCGCCAAGAATAATTCACTTGGCGAACCTCTTAATATGTGGCAACAAATTTTCCTTTCCCTTCCCTAGTATATTTGACAGTCAGACAAAAACGAATATGACATAGACATATAATCAATTTGGCAGCTTTTTAAATATATATTCTATACAAATTTTCTGCCTACAATAAACAAAAAGTGTTGTTGCAATAGTAATATTCTGACTGAAACAGTTTTTATGAATGAATCTAATATTTACACATACATAAATTAAGTGTTAAATAAGGGAAACGCTGTTGCTAATGTAGAGCTCGTACCAAAGTCTAATATGCGTACTTTCAGAATGATATAAAGTGTGAAAAACATTACTCTCTTATTTCAAAAAATAGTTTACTGCTAGTTCTGAAAAGGAAATATTTACTGTTCATTTATGTACAGATTAATGGTATGAATGCCATTCCCTCTCTCTTTAGCATTTGAATTTTATAATTTAATGAGTAACAAAAAATAAGTCTGTTGGTTAAATTATTGCTCTGTAGAGCCACTATGTTATTTTGAAGCAGCAGACGGGAAAAATGAGCACTTCTCTCGTTAGGACTCGAACACGGACCTCTCGAATACGCGTCCAGTGCGCTACCGCGTTACACCAAGCATAGAGAAGGAGGGAGAAAATACATTATATATACTGGTTATCATAAATTAAGAACAAATCACAAAAATAAATCCCTCAAAAATAAGCCAAATCATGTAAAATTTGAATATGTTGCCAAGTAAAAGTAGCTGAGTAAAACTCCAATATGCAAATTAGTGGCGCTGCACTCGGAATACGTCATCGGCGAGGACAATAAATGTCCGTGTTTGAGAGCAAGCTCACATATTTCAC